TGCGACGTACGTTTCGTCCCCGCTGGACTCATCAGGCAATCTTCTTCTTGGATGTCTTTATACGGAGCTTGACTCGGGAGAATGAAATTGAAGACACCACTGCAGCTGTATGCATTTTATGCATTGGCCACACTCCCCATCATTCGGCATTTGCAGCAGCAACACGACGCCGTTAAGCAGATTTGGTATGCGGATGACTCCAGTGGTGCTGGCAGGATGAGAGCGATTTGAGACTGGTGGACGACAATCCAGGAACACGGTCGCCTGTATGGATATTTCACCAATCCGGACAAAACCCTACTTCTCGTGAAGCCCGGATTGGAGGAGGAGGCTTCACATCTGTTTGAAGGCACCGGTGTCCGCATTGTCACCGGCAGCACTAAATATCTGGGCTCATACATCGGGGAGCCTGATGATGTTGCCAGCCAAGTGAGGGAGAAGGTTGATTATTGGTGCAAGGAGCTACGCACATTAGCAAAGTTTGCCAGCACAGAGCCTCACGCGGCTTATGCGGCTTTGACTCATGGCCTGCGGGGTCGTTGGGTCTACCTCTTTCGTACGGTTCCCATTCCGGAGGACGCAGTATCAGCGTTGGACAAGGTAATCGAAACTGAGTTCTTGCTTGCTGCAACTGGTCGAGATGCATTCACCACGGAGGATTTGGTGATGCTCAGGCTGCCGACTCGTTTCGGGGGAATGGCCATTCCACACTTTCACAGCATGAGCGGGACAGAGCGCGACGCTTCCAGAGCAATGACAGCAGCCCAGGTTAGTGAAATTCTGCAACAGAACAACACATCATGGACCAAGCAAGCACCGGAACGTGTTCGGCAAGATCCTCTGACAGCCAAGAAGGATTTTGCCAGACAACGCGGCACAGCAAGTGAGGCTGAGTTCCGCCAGCTGCGGCAGTCGGCGTCGGCGGATATGGCGCGTCGTTTGGAGCATTTGTCCTCTGTCTCTAGCTGGCTCAACACACGGCCTATCAGAGAACACGGATATCATCTGTCGAAGGGAGATTTCAGGGATGCCGTGGCGTTGCGGTATGACTGGGCATTGGTTGATGTGCCTACTACCTACTCTTGTGGCCAACCGTTTAGTCCGGCCCATGCCATGTGTTGCCCTACTGGTGGTTCCCCACCATCCGGCACAATGAAGTTCGCGATATTCTTGCCGACTTACTTACTGAAGTTTGCTCGGATGTCGCTGTCGAGCCGCAGCTTGCTCCGATTTCGGGAGAGGTGTTTCTGGCAGCCTCAACTATCACCGCCAACGATGCTCGCGCTGATATCCGGGCTCGAGGGCTGTGGACCAGGGTACAGAATGCTTTTCTGGATGTCCGGGTTTTTCATCCCGATGCTCCGTCCTATGCCACCAAACCTCTCGACAAACTGTTGGCGGAGCATGAGAGGAAGAAGAAGCTGCAGTATGCTGAGCGCATCATCAATGTGGACCGTGGGACATTTACTCCACTAGTTTTCACCAGGTTGTTGTGCGCCAGAGTGCTCCAGATTTGTTAAGCACCTGTGTGGCCTCATTTCGAGTGGGGACACGAAGTTGTATGCCCAGACAATGACATATGTCCGGTGTCGACTGGCGTTTGCATTGTTGCGGTCGGCGATCATGTGCATCCGCGGTGCTCAATCGTCATATCAACGTCCTGTGAATGCATTGCGAGAGTTGGCAATCTCGGAGGGCCGGCTGTGAGGTTTTGGAGACGATGGTGGGCAGGACAGTGCCCTTGTATTTTCCTGGGGTTTTTTGTTTTTTGTTTTTTTGTTTTTTGTTTTTTGCGTTTTTTCACACATACAATTGTTTTCATTTTTTGGTGTTGTGTTCTAATCATTCGCCATGCCAATGTCAATTGTATTCTGTTTGCCCGTAAAAGAGGTTACCGCTACTTTTGCTTTCTCTCTTCAAAAACAATTGAAGACTGCAGCTGTACTTATGGTTGATAAATATGGTGGTAAAGACACACCTGCAGCTGTACTTATGGTTGATAAATATGGTGGTAAAGACACACCTGCAGCTGTACTTATGGTTGATAAATATGGTGGTAAAGACACACCTGCAGCTGTACTTATGGTTGATAAATATGGTGGTAAAGACACACCTGCAGCTGTACTTATGGTTGATAAATATGGTGGTAAAGACACACCTGCAGCTGTACTTATGGTTGATAAATATGGTGGTAAAGACACACCTGGCAATATGGCTGTAAACACACGCCTGCCCACACACGCTCTCTAGGCTGCAAAGTTCTGGCACAGAGCTCTCCTTCTCACCACCACCACCATCAGTTCGCGCCTGGCGCCTGGTCGATGCATGGCTGGCGGTATCCGGCATAGCAGGCTGGTACATCAAGTAGCGCATGGCACATAGATGATGACACAGCATCGGCATAGCTCGATTGCGACGTAAGTTTCGTCCCCGCTGGACTCATCAGCAGGGCCTGCTGGAGAGCCGGGTCAGCCGGGTCACGCGCCCGGCTGGGGAACTGCACGACCTGGCTGAACAGATAACACCGGGTCCAGTCTGACCTGGCTGAAAAATGTCTCAAACTGACAATGGATTCCTAAAATACCGGTATTTTACGACTCGCGGACCCCATCTGTTGCAAATCTAGCACAATCGTAGATCTACACACTACAGTCTACAAGCGACAGAAACTCGGCTAGGGTCAACTGGTTCTAGCGCGATCTGGCCAACGGCGAGCAGGAAGTCAGGACATTCAAAGTCGATGGGGGCAGGCAGTCAAAAGCGGCGCGAAGAGAAAAAGAACTCACGCTTTGTCGTTTACCTTCTACGTTTGCGGGCAGGGACTTTGATAGTTCGCCTTGTTCTCTAAAATTTCCGATTTCCGGTAATAAATTCGCCTTTCTGTTTTCCTGCGTTTTGAGCAGGCTTTTTGGTTGTTTTTCTGCCGGATGATCTGACCCGGCTTGACCCGGCTGGCCTGCATGCGCCAGGTACACTCTGACCGGGCTGTGTTGAATGTCTAGAGCAGGCCCTGCATCAGGCAATCTTCTTCTTGGATATCTTCATACGGAGCTTGACTCGGGAGAATGAAGTTGAAGACACCACTGCAGCTGTACTTATGGTTGATAAATATGGTGGTAAAGACACACCTGGCAATATCCGCCGTTTCAACTGGCCGTGGTCAAGATGGGAAACGGAACAGGAGAAGGACCGAGATCTCGCCCAAGTAGTGTCCTGGCTAGGTATGGACTCTCCGCCTTGCCCACAGGACATGATGGGTAGCAGTCCTGAGGTACGTATTTTGTGGAAAAATCATGAAATGCTGGTTCATCATGAGGGGGTGTTGTGCCGTCGTTGGGAGGACCCTTGCCCCGGTAAGCCATCTATCTTGCAATTTTGTTCCCCGACATTTACGTTCTTTGGTTTTGCAAGAGTATCATGACCAGGGGGGACATACGGGTTCTACACGCCTGCAGAAGAAACTGACCCAACAATTTCACTGGGTAGGCATGAAGAAAGATGTATTAGATTGGGTTGCAAGTTGTTCTTCCTGTTGCCAGTTGAAACGTCCCGTAAACTCGAACACACGTATATCGTCATCCACGAACCATAGGAAGCGGTGGTAGCGCCGGTCCTCAGGTCTCAGGCCGACCTGCAGAAACATCTCCGAAATGTCGGCGATCAGTGCGATGGGGTGCTCACAGAAACGGATGAGGACCTTCACAAGGTCGTTCTGGAGCTTGGGCCCTGCCAGCATGCGGTCATTAATGCTGCTTCCATTGAACTGAGCAGCAGCGTCGAAGACGACACGGACTTTGGTGGTGGCCTTGTCCTCTCACACGGCAGGAAAGTGCGGAAGGAGCCACTCGTCTGTAGCACCGCTGCATTCTTCCTGTGCTGTCAGCATCCTGATGTACGATTTGTGAAGGTAGTCCTCCAGTACCTTGGCGTAGCGGACTTGTACGTCAGGCCGTCGCTGCAGGGAACGTACCAAGGATCTGAGTCGACACTCAGCTTGAACTCGATTGCTCTTGACCCCAGGCGGCTCCTCTGTCTTCCACGGGATGGCGACCTCGAAGCGCCCATTTACGTGATGGATGTACTGACGGGTGTTACTCTCAGCTTGGCGCTCATCCGGTGTCAAGTACTCATCTGATGATGTCTCCATCCCGACTGATTCAAGTTCCCAGAACTTCTTCACCAGTGTATCCAGTCCTGAGCGCGTTGCCTCTGCGACATGGAAAGTGCTGTGACTGCTGAGGCCTTCGGAGCGTATGCTGGGACCAAAGCACACCCAGCCGAGAAGCGTTCGTCTGGCGATGGGATCGCCGTCGTTGCCAACTCGCTCCTCCTGCGCGACGTGAAGTACAGCGGCATTCAAGCCGACGAGTATGTCAACCTTGGCGTGAGCTACAGTTGCAAACTCAATGTCGGATAGGTGTGGCCACTGGCTCCGCACGGCATTCCAATTGGTGACAGGGAGCTCGCTCGTGATCTTGGGCATCACATAGGCCTCCAGTTGAGTAGTGGCCTTGCTATCATGGTGGCGAAGGTGCAGCTTCACGACGCGCCCTCGGCCGCGCAGAACCTTGCCGCCGAGTACGGTCACACTCACGTCCTTGTCGTTTCCTTGAAGATGTAGTCGCCTTGCGAGCTGCTCTGACACATAGCTGCAGCTCGAGCCAGAGTCCAGTAGCACATTCGCCATGGCGGAATGTGCCCTGTTCATGACCTGCACAGGAACTGTCATAAATGATGTTGACCCGCTTGCGCCGTCTTCGGTCATTGGCAACCCGCCAGCGGAGTCGGTTCCATGATGTGTGGTCTCTTCTGTGGATTGTGGCGCCTTGTCAGCCTTGTCAGAAGCAGGCTTGTGCTCGGTGTGGAGCAACAAGTGATGCTTGCCATTACATTCCGTGCAGGCAGCTGACTCACACTCTCGCGCCCAATGGCCATCACCCAGGCAGTTCAAACATAGATTCAGCAGCCTAGCCAACTCATTGCGCTTGTTGACACCTAGCGCCTTGAATTCGTTGCAGTGACGCAACTGATGCGACCCGTTACACTTTCGGCACTTTTGTTGCCGTGCTGGAGATTTTGTGGCTGCCGACTTTTTGTCCTGCCCGCGGACACTGGCCGCTGCCAATGTCTGATGCTTCATCTTCGGTTTAGGTTGCGAAGTGCTTTGGGATCGCGTCTCCTGCTTTTCGAGCAACCCAAGCCGGTCCGTGGCATGCTTCAAGTTCTTGACGTAACTTAACAGCCACGTGGCGAACGCATCGATGTCAGTGCTGCCAGTTCCATGCTTATCGAAGAACTTGATTAGCATGGACTTGGGAATCTTCTCCGTCGCAATTATGTACAGCTCTTGACTCGGCGTGCTGCCACTGGTGCAAATGTTAGCAATCGTGCTGCGGAGCTTGACGGCATACTTTTGCAGGCCTTCCAGATCTCGTTCGTTGGCAATTCTGGCCTGCGTCATGACCTCTCGTATCTGCTGCTCTAGATGCCTGTCTGCTCCTCCAAACCAGGACTCCAACTCACCCCAGGCAACGGAGTAAGTGCCTGGCCCGTCCAGAAGGTCCACGACAAGATCCTTGGCTGTGCTGTGCTCAATGGCCTCCCTCAGTCGGGCCATCTTGTATTCGTCTGGCAGGCGTGGATCCATGTATTGGAGGAAGGAATTCCTCCAACGGTGATAATCATGCGCCTTGCCACTGAACGCCGGCAGTTTTAGAGGCTTCACGAACGGTTGTTGTGGCATGTAGCCAGAATGCGCAAATTGATAATTTTGCGGAGGCAGTGTGCTGCTGGTCTTCGGCACGTACTGCGGTGCAATACGTTCAGGGTTGAATGCCCTGAGACCATGGGCATGGTGGAAATCCTGGGCGGCTGACTGGCTTGGTGCATCGTACTACTCACAACTGTTGGCGCATGTCCAAACGTTGGCAGTGACGTCATCATTGGCATGGGCGGCATCAGCTGTGGTGGCGCAGATCCAAACCCAATGACTGGGGGTGCTGCCCTCATAGGCAGCTGTTGAGGTGGCACTGATCGTGGCAGAGTTCCTGTTGATGCCAACACTGGCATTGATGAGGGAACACTGGGTGCTATCTGTACACTGGCTGCACTAGATGCATTGGGCACAGTGTGTGTAGATATAGGAAGTCCTAGTGGCTGAAAAGCACTTTGCGCTGCAGATGTTATGGGTGCATGAAGACCACTTACTGCTTGAATAGTCTGTGGCTGACTAGGCTGCAAAGGACTTCCCCCTGCTCCTGGCTGTGAGAGGCTGATGAAAGGACACCAAGCAGAGGCCCTGAGATGCGTCCTTGTATACCAGATGTAGTCCTGGCCAGTGGAGCGTCAGTTCCAATGCCGCTTCTGCCAGTTCTGCAGGTCTCTGCTGGTCCAACTGACTGTGATCTGCTGGCACTAACTGAGACTTCCCCAGACTGTCCAACGGATGAGGTGAGATCCAGCATAGAATCCAAACGCCCCGCACCTGAGCTGCTCTCCAAAGCGTGCTCCTCTTCGGTTCTGGCGTTTTCATCGTGTTGCTGCGACTCGTCACCTCCATCCGGCGTTTCTTCCAGAAGTGCGCTCACATCAGCCAGCAAGCTAATATCGTTTCGGAATTTTTCCTCCCACTTGTCCAACACGTCCAAGCGTGCCGAATCCTGTTGCTGCTCCAGTAGCTCCCTATGTCCGTGGAGCAGTTCTTCAATGGCGTGCACGAGCTCCTCCGCCTTGCGTAGGTCCTTCCCAAGGTACCTACGGCTTGGACTTGACTTGCCAAATTCACTCGACAATCCTTTTAGGCACAGCGTCAGCCTTCGCCTCAGCTGCTTGCGCTGCGTAATGATTGCCTTGTCGCCAAAGGCTGAGCCATCCGAGGCGTCCAGGTTGTCTTCACTAGTCCCATCTTGGGTAGAGCGGTCCTGCTCTAATCCATCCATGGCCGAGGAAACTGCGTATCCCGTCGGAGGTGCCAGAAATGTTACTTTCAATTAGGGTTCGTTGTAGAATGCTCAGAACACACTCTCACAAACAAACTACGGAAGAATCTTCACCACGCACAGATGGACACGTTCAGTGTTGACAGAAAACCAACTTCAACTCTCACCACTACAACGTATAAAGCAAGAACACAAGAATCGAATACACTTCCAAGAGAAAACACACACCAAGCGAACTGCAAAGCAAAAGACACTACTGGTCGACAAAGCCAGACCAATAAAACCGAAACACGCAGTACCACAAGCCTCCACGTGCGCAGCGCGGGAATCTGGCGTGATTTGCATCGGTCACGCGACACGTGCAGCCACACAGGCGCGGGCATGTAAAACACGCATGCAAGCAATGCATGAAAGGTGCCAGTGACATGGGCGGAACAGTGAACTAAACGTAACAACTGAAGCCATATGTATCCAATGCCTGGCTCTAGTGAGAAAGCAGTTTGGTGCAGGCAAGCAAACTATGATTGAATCAGGGAGTGGTGGAAAGTCACATTATACCTCTCCATGAATAGCTGGTAATGACGACGATACGGCTCCGGCTGGGTCTCATGGGAAAGTAACTTGCATACCTGTTTAGTTGCAACGAGGCAACGGTGCCCTATGTACTGAAGACATGATTGAACTACATTGTATCTCCTCCTGGGAGAATGTGGACAAAATAATGCCAGAGTGTGTCTGATACACATGCTGAGTATGTTCATTATCCTGGACGTAACAGAACTGCGCTATGAGGTACCTTTTGCGTTGGACCTACAGTTGAGCCACTACTCTTCTTACAAATTCCATACAACGGTGAAAGGATTTGTTGGAGCATCATCAAACAGTGCATTCACTTTCATCATATACTGGCTCTGTTGCCTACATTAGTTCACATTTGGACGGGGCACGCTGGGACGATACGGAAGGAGCGGCAGGAACCACTGGAGTGCTCATAATGCTGGTTAGCCGAGACGGTTGTGAGTGTCAGGAACGGGAACGCAACCGCACTACTGTACAGATCAGAAAGCGATGGAAGAGTTGAATCTGTTCAACCTTCCATGCCGTGTACAGGGACACAAGCGTAAAAATGGCTACATTTAGAATGTGAACTGGCGATGGCATTGTGTGGCGACGAACACAACTGCAACTGTTCAAATTTCAGTATTTCTAACAATATGCTTCCCATGATAACTCACCGATGGCTCACATTACGGAGTTGGACATTACCAGGCTGTATTTATGGATAGTCCTTGAGTTTTCAGATGAAGTGCTTTATCTTTTCCTGTCGTTCCTTTAGAATGGCACAATGTCCATGGCTGCTTTAGTGTCTTCATAACAGACTGGTATAATCAGCATGATTCTGCCTTATCTGAGAAGAAATAAGACTTTCCTTTCGGAAAGGAAGCCCAGAAACGTCAACCCCCGTGAACTGTGCTTTATGACTCTCGTCCATCGACGATAACCGTCGCAATAACTGCTGCATGTATGTTGTGCTGTGCGAACCGTACAAGATTTTACAGCTCGCCCACGCCTTCCCAACAGGCTCCTAAATTGTATATCCCGTACCGTTAACGCGTTAGGGTTACACATTGAATGGGCTGCAACTTCCCCAGCATGTTAAGACATCAAAATGTCTTTCCCGCTTTAAAAATGCACTCCGATCGCATAATGTAGTACGATAGGATCTCATTGCTAGTTTCTTGTCTGTCCTTCTTTCTTCTCTTTTTCTATATTCCTTTCTTTTCTTTTCTTGCCGTGGTTGGCTATCACCCCTCTCTCGCACTTTGCGTGCTAATTGGTCATGAACCACGAGTTGAGTGAAATGAACAAACAAACAAACAAACAAATATGAACTAGGCTAGCACAGTTATCCTTCGTTCTTTTGATGGCGGCGGGTAGTATGGAACTTGACGTGTTCTTGGGATCCTCGTGCAACACTTGCTGTTCCCGGATGCCATATTATTGGGTGCATCGAGGTTGCTTCTATGCTCACTGTTGTTTGGTAAGACAACTTTTTTATAACTATTTCACTGAAGAATAAGACAAGAGTATTTTGGGTTGGTTTGGACACCTGGCTTCTCTTCACGTCAATCGAACTGAGGCACTCCTTTGTGTTGACCCATTGCCTCCAAGTTGCCCAATTTTTTGCTTCAAAAAAGTTCAAATCAGAGGTGGCTCCAAACCGGACACGTTTTAGAGTGCACGTCAAATTCACTCTGGGTCTGAAATTAGGTAATGGCTATCGCTCCACGACGGCCAGTACAGAGTAACAATAAGCCTTGTGTGTGCTTCCATTAGTTTTGATTGGTATGCGGTGCTTTATTGGCGAGAGGCGAGCCGCTGTTTACCTGCGACAAGAAGTTGATTTTTCGAAAGTCGTAAAGCTCAAGTCGCAGTGCGAAGCAACACGTCAAAAACTCACCTGCTTGATAAGGCGCTTCTGGTCATCGCAGAGCCATGAAATTTTGGCTCGGAGTATAACACATCGTAGTCTCACTGTGACATAATTGTTTTCTAATCAAAATACCAAGAGATAAAGTGAATATTGAGTCCGTTCCGGGTTGCAACCTGTGTCCTATTTGAAACCGTCCCCTGTCCTGGTCATGTATGGATCTGATGTAAGATATTACGTGGGAGTACTGCTCCTTCCTCCTTTCCGCTCTCAATAACGCGATTTGGCGATAGAGTGATGTCGCCGCTCTTCCCATGCCACCACTTGCCGACAGCACAACAGGCATGAACGTCGCATGCTCCACCTCTCTCACTCTCTCTTCATAACATCGTCGCTTTTCGCCGATAGACAGTGGTGTGTGGTGCAGATCGATTTGAGCGTGCAAGAGGATTAAAAACCCGTATATCAAGTAAAGTACGCTCAAAACGACTGCCCCACAAACCACTGACCGCTACATCAAGCCGCGCATGCTCCTCCACAATAGCAGACCTGTATCTCATTCTCTCTCCAGTGAGTTGCTGCAGCAGTGCCTCAATGGAGACATTGTGACAGGTCTCTTGAAGGAGAGAGGCTGTCACATCCTGGATCTCATTATGGCGGATAATGGTAAACCCACCAAGGGGACATGACAAGGCATGGTCAATACCATTGTCCCGTCCACAAGAGCAATGAGTTGGTAACCTCGGCGGCATCCAACCATAACGGAGGCACAAGCCGTCCATGAACTCAGCTTTGCTCAGTGAAAAGCCATACTTTTTCAATGTACGGCAAGTCAGCCAACTCGAGGCGCCAGCTTCACGGGCGAGGACAATGGTGTGTCGCAAGGCGTCCGACGCATCATTGCTGACACGCTGTGCCGACTCCGCCTGGCTATGACGCACTTCCTTCTTCCTCTTCGCCTTCTCCCGCTGGATGCCAATCAGAGAATTCCCAATATCAGAAACACGATCCACGATACGCCGGGAGAGAGATGCTGTGATGGCGACAGACGACTCATACTGGGCACACAAAGTCATCGGGCTGACCAGGCCCAGGCCACCCAAACGACAGGGCATTGCGAGTACTTCTCTCAACACTGTGCCAGGAGGTGGCCGACCCGTCATTGCTGGTATAAGCTTCGTGCTTATCACGTCCTCCAGTGGCTGGAACTGGGACGGAGAAATAGACTGAACGCGGCATAGGAAAGCC